ATACTATATGTAATATGTCTGTATGTAAATCGTTTTTAATTAAAATTCGAACATCTCAATTCTCGGAATCAGCAACGAAAGTACGCCGTAAGAATATTCTAATAATATTTAGCTTTAGCATTTATAGGCTAAGAAGAACTAAGAAGTAGAGCGTAGAACTATATAAGATACCTTCAAAACGGCCTGTATTCAGATTTGTGATTTAACCAAGTACCTTCATGCCAGTCTGTTTTTCTAAATTAATTATTTAGACTTAATTCAAGCAGAATAATATTTTGGAAATAGAAAATAAACGAGTAAGGTCGGCTATTTTCTAAAACCTTTGGAATATTTTACTGAAATAATTTATTAGACTTGTGCATGGACGCATGGTTGTAAAATTTACCACATGATATATTGATATGTGAGTGTTCTATATTACTTAAATAATAAACACATTTACACCAAGAATCAACGTTTCGACAAAGAGTCACCTAATCCCCACTCTAAATTCATGACTCTGTAGGCAACGAGATCACTACACTGTGAAACATGAACAATGTTAAAGGTTTATCAGAGTTGACTAAAAAAATAATACTGTTATTCTATACACATGTGTGTTGAATGACTTGAATGGATAAGCAACAATGAAACGCCCAATATACATATACTACTTGCAAATGTGTAGTGTATTTTTAAGTTGTACATAATATATAAAATATTATTATATTGTCTCCAACCTTTGGAAGATTTGAACCCTTAATAAAATATAGTAATGCTACAATGGCTTCTGTCAAGAACAATAATTACTCGTATTAGTCCCACATGGCCACATGTCACGGACATGTAACAATGCAAAAAAAAAAGATTACACACATACTCGTGCATTACATATAGAATGAAACAGAAATTACTAAAAATTGTAGTTATAATCAATATTTTAAAATTCATATTATATTCAGTCGAATGTTACTACTCCCTAACTCACTTCAAACATTAATTCACTGTCAACACATCTTTTCCACTCATATGCTTATTGTAATTAATAATTATGGTTACTGCAGATTGTATATTTTCATATGAATGTTAAAAATAAATAAATATTTTACTCAATAATTATTAGAATTTGTAAACACTTACGCTATATTTATAATATATTTTTTTTTCATTTTTATTTCTTTAACTGAAAATATTTGGTTTAAATTTAAAAATGGCAAATTTGTTAATCTGATTATAGGAACAATTTTTATGGTAAAAAAATGTATTTAAGTCAAGTAGCTTATTAAGTTKATTTATTAGAATTTTTTAAATATCATTATATTTTTACTGTAAATTTAATTAAAGTTTAGTTTAAATTAAATTAAAATTAAATTAAAAATTTATTTGAGTAGCGTCAATTTGGTTTGTCAAATATTTCTGTTACACCATATACATTGAATATACTGAAATACTTAAGTACATAAAAATCGTATTATTCTTTTTTTTTTGTAATTTTATATTAACAATAGATTCCAATAAAACTGATAATTTGACAACTTTTTGTGAATTTTAATGTTGTTACATATATTATATTAGGTAGGTATCTGTAAAAATGTTCGGCCTTAAAAGACGTTACTCTCGCATGTGTTGTTTTCGTCTTACAAGTGCGTTTCTTAGAACATTTTACGCTYAGCAGATCATGTTTAGTTCCGTTAGTTTAAAATTAAGAGTGAATTCACCTCTTATAAGAATTAAAGGTACCATTATTTTTGAAGGCTTCTCGTAGGCTTTTTATTATATTTTAATTTTAAAGCGAATTATGAGTATTTTAAGATATACAAACAATTCACAATTTTAAAATACACATAACTCGCTTTAAAATTAAAATATAATAAAAAGGCTATATTATGGTGAACCCTCAAAAATAAAGTTACCATTAATTTTTATAAGAGGTCAATTCACTCTAAATTTTAAACTAACCGAGCTAAACGTGATCTGCTGAGCATAAAATTTGGTACGCACTTGTAAGACAACATATGCGGGTAACGTCTTATTAATGGTTTAATGGTGTGTGTCGTCAAATTTTGATGAACGCCCGTTAATTTGGATTTAAATTGCGGTATCGCAGTCGTTGTGAAAAAATAATGGCTGAGAAACACTGTCCAACACATAATATAACATAATATATATAGTTAGGTAATGAGGTAATTGCAAAGGCATGTTCGAGAATTTTGGATTTAGGTGTTTAAATTTTTTTTAACATCATGTAATCAATATAAATAAGAAATTAAAAAAAAAAAAAAAATTATAAATTAAACAATGAATATTTTTTGTAAAACATTTATTCAATTAAAATTATAGAACTGCAAAGTTAAATTTAACCAAATTTAGCAAAGACTACACAAAAATACAATACTTGAAAAAAGCTATTTCTAGTTTTTCAGAATAATATAATATCAATTTAATTTATCTATAACTAAAAGSTTACAGAAAAATAAGGATATGGGTTTCGAGTGAAACTGATCAGCGAATCGTGTAACACAATCTATATATTTTTTACAAAACCTTCTCGYTGTAATTCCCAGCATAAAAATCAGGTGGAGGTCCCGTCAAAATTGGCAGTTATACTTTAATCCGACACTGCAGTTGATGTTATTTGAGCAGCGGTAAGCRCTCTATTGCGCAAGGCAGTCGAGACGCACGCGATCTCCGGCGGCGAAGGGCTGCGAGATGGATATCGATTTTCTCGCTATCTGGCAGACCTACAAACGGCGAGTGCATATGGAAACGAATATTGTTTTAGATTTAGTCAAAACAATATAACATAATTCGGCGACGATAGGAACGATGTAAAARAATAAATGTTCTCACGTTTTTTCGCGGACGACAGTTGTACCTATACGAAACGTTTTCCCGAAAAAATAACTTACCCTGACTTGTATTTTTAATATTTTAGTTGAGTAATTGATAACGTTAGGAGTTTACGTTTACGTTTGGAGTGGACAAAACGCCATCATATGATATGGCATGGAAACTGTTGATAGTCGTTCACAATTTCATCGTATTGGCGCACTGCGGTGAGTATATATTATTATAAAATATTATACTACAATATGTAGGTATCATATACCGGGTGAAGCTTTTATCATCTAACAACCATAAAAAAAAATAAATTGTTCATGCGGTGTCTAGTCGTTAAAAATAACATTAAAAAATATATATATATATACAGAGTGATTCTTTTAAGTGGGTGCACTAATTATCTCGAAAAGTATTTACTTTTTTCAAAATATTTTTTACATGGTTTCATGTTGTTAAAAACCCAACGTTTTTATTAAAAAATTATATTTTTTATCCTTACCATTTTTTAAGTTTTTTACTTTTTTGAATGACAACATAGAATTTTAATTTCATATTCCTAAGCAGAATATTTTTCTAAGTATTTTGATTCTCAAAAATCGAATTTAGGACGAGTAGTTTATGAGTTATATGTATTTAAAGTTTAGACAAGCGGAGTAGTGGACAAACATATTGCGGGGTAACTCAGCCCGTACCACTCCACTCTGCCAATCTAAACTTTAAATACTTATAACTCAAAAACTACTATCCCTAAATTCGATTTTTATGAATCAAAATACTAAGGAAAATATTCTGCTTTGGAATATGAAATTAAAAATTTATGTTGTCATTCAAAAAAAGTAAAAACTTAAAAAATTATAAGGATAAAAAATATTTAAACATATAATTTTTTAATAAAAACGTTGGGTTTTTAACAACATGAAACCATGTAAAAAAATATTTTGAAAAAAGTAAATACTTTTCGAGATAATTAGTGTACATACCCACTTAAAAGAATCACCCTCTACATATATATTTTTTCAACGTTTTTTAAGCTTTTACTTTTTTGAATGAAGACATACAGTTTTAATTTCATATTCCAAAGCATATTATTCTTAGAAGTATTTCGATGCATAAAAATCAAATTTAGGACGAATAGCTTATGAATTATAAGTAGGTATCTATTAAAAGTTTAGATGAATGGAGTAGCTAGTGGAACAAAATTTATTTTGAGTGGTAACCACGTACTTCTTCGCACAATATGTATGATACCAGCTRGTGATACGTGTGATAATGTGATATTTTTTGTAAATATAGTATAATATATACATATTTTAATGTGTATGTATGTTATGCAATGTGCAATTAGGCGTATAAGCATGCGTAAATACAAATATTATAATTTAATTAATTGTTATGACAAACAAGAAATCGTGATTTATATTTTATACCTATACTATATAGATGACGACAGATATTCAATAGGTASGTACCTAATGTAGGACCATCGATTTATTAGAGTAGGAAAGTACATTATTGCAACTGCTGATTACATAGATCAATCAATAAATCGATTTTATAAYGAAGGCCATTTCTAATTCAACAAACAAATAGTTGATTTAACATTTATATAAATAATTATGTCTGAAAATGCTCAGAATTGTTGTCATTATACCAACCTAAAAAATATTTCTGTATGCACCATTGTCTGAAATTAATAGACATTAATAATGTCACATTATGATGTTATTTAATATTTCCTAGTCAATATCGTACACTGTCTAATTTGATTGGAAATATATTGTTATTGAACGTTAGTTCCTTAATTTACATCATTGCCGGTAATATATATTCATACCTATCAATATCAAAATATGTACCTATGATTATCATAAATGTTTACGTATATTTGTTTTTATTTGTCTTAGTGGACTGGTCGGGAAAAATCTATCAAACAAACGCTGCTTTGGAAAAAGAAAACCTAATGTTCTGTTACGAGTGCAATACCATGGTAAACGGGAAAAGCTGCAGTGATTTCACAGACAAGGACGAATATTTGAGATTCTCCACAAAATGTACGGGAGATAGAAAAACATGCATGGTAAACAACTATAATATAATTATATGATATTATAATGACCTTAAATTTTAAATCAATTGGATTATTCTGCAAGCTGTGTAAGACAAAATAATAAGACAGCATATTGTGTATGCTGCAGCTGATGTTAATCAATATAATTTGATGATACAATAGAACAATATAGGTTCACACCAATATTACATAATATATTAGGACTATAACAATAATATACGTAGTACAAAACTCGTGAGTATAGCCCTAAACAGACAATGAGACA